CTGAATACATGACATTTTTTCTTTAGAACTTGTGGTAGACTTTTCCATCTGTGGTGATAAATTGTATCTGAGTCTATTGGCAGATATTTAGCATCCACCATGTAGCATGGAAGAGCTTTGGTAGCATAGGGTTATGCGTTGGGCTACTAACCATAAGGTCAGCAGGTCAAAACCACCAGCCGCTCCATGGGAAAAAGGGGGGCCTTCTATTCCCATAAAGAGGTACAGTCTCAGAAACACACACAGGGCAGTTCTGCCCTTCCCTTTACTGTGAATCAGAATGGACGTGACGGCAGTGAGTTAACTATCATGTACTATGCTAGTTGCTGTAGAAGATGCAAGAGTACTATAAAGGGTGCTTTCAGAGGAAGTACATATGAAATAGTGAGTTGTGGTACTTATCCTTAAGGGTAGGTGGGGTTCAGAGAAGGGAGAATTCACTATTGGCTAATGATCAGAGAAATCTTTGTATAGAAGATGAAATTCACACCGAGGTGTTGAAAGATTCTTTGAATGAAGAGAAAGGGAATAGAAAGTATTTCAAGCAATAACGGAGAAAGATATAGAAATGGAGTTGTATCTGTTCTGGGAGTGTGATATTAAGAGTTTGTTAAGTACTCAAGCTCTAGACTAGAGTAAGAATTTGCATTTTATTAAATGTACAAAGTGGAGCTCAGGAGTTTTCTTCTCTACCTCTATGCTTCTAGGGTAAAAGGATTCCAAAGGTACAGTTACAGGTGCTGAAATTTCTCATGGGAGGAGGAAAGGAATTTACAAATGTTTTTTAATAAGTACCTTCGGAATTTTTTCTTTGATTTTTTCTTTCTTTTAAAATTCTATCTTGGACAAAAACCCTCTTTATGAAACTTTCCTCAACTTTACTGTTGGTGCTATAAGACAGAGAGAAAAGCAAGATCTTTTCTATATACTGAAACTTGATGGGATTAATCTGAAAACCTCAGGTAATGGAGAGGGATAGCTATTTGCCTGGACTGTCCTCTGTATTATGAGAGGGTTTCAAAAAGTTCAAAATAGAATTAGTGCAAATTTCCCACAAACTTTTGAAGCTCCCATGTATATATATCCTTTGAGAACCTAATAGGATGCCATGGAACAGTTTTGAATCCCAGCTCTTTTCTCCCTTGAAAACACCACTGCATTCAAACCAAGAGGAGGGAGAGAGAGTATGTTTAAAGGCAGAGGAGAAAACAATCTCAGAAAAGGGAAAACACTAAAGAGGAAAAGGCCTTTTTAGGGAATTGGAATTCCAGAAGAGGTGGAAAGAATTAGAACCCATAATATAATTAAAAGGTTATCTGCAAAGAAGAGGAGAGAATCAACTTCCTTTCAGTGTGAAGAGAATGCTAAGGAAATGATTATTTAGTTTTTTCTTATGTTTATTTAATGTCTACAGTGCACCAGCCTGGTTTTACATGTGTGCTATACAGTGGGAGCAAGACATACCAGTTCTCTGCTCTTATGACATTTACCTTGTAGTTGTAGAGATGAACTGTAAATTCATAGACAGTGTTACCTAAGAAATTCACATAGGAGAATAGGAGAATTTTAGATGGCTATTTGAAATTGTGAGTTCAGTAAACACACGTCAGTGTATATGACATGAAAGCTGGGATGTACGAGGGGGTACCCCCAAAATGGAATTTTTTTCCAAAGCTATGTGTTAAAATTTTTTTTACAAAACAACCATATCACCTTCAAAGTCTTCTCCATTACTTAATACATTTGTCAAATCTGCGATTCCATTCTTGGAACCATTTTTCAAACTCCTCTGTTTGGATGGCTGACAGCACCTCCCTAATTTTCCTCTTCACCTTCTCTGTCATCAAATTGCTGTCCTTTCATGTCCCTCTTCATTCTCAGAAACAAAAAGAGGTTGCACAGAGTAAGGTCAGGTGAGTCAGGTGCATGGAGGCACTGTTTTTTGCCAAAAGCTGATGCACCAAGATGGATGCATGTGCAGGTGCATTGTCATGTCCCCTGTCTACTGCAAATCAGACCTTTTTTTGTCACACACTGTTAAGCAATTTTTCAGAACCTCTAAATAGAAAGCTTGATTAATAGTCTAACCTTGTGGAACAAACTCCAAATGGATTATGAGTTGACATTTTCCTCCGTTCTGGAAGTTGAAGGTTTGTCATCAGTTGACATTTCACCTTTTTTTGAAATGAGAAAACCACTCAGACACTTTAGTTTTTCCCATAGGGCTGTCCTTGTAAGCAGTGTTCAACATCACAATGGTTTCTGCGGCATGTTTCCCGAGCAGGAAACAAAATTTCACACTCGCTCACTGTTCTCTTAAATTGGCCATCACAAAGGCACGAGGTTTGAGCAAGACTGCTTTTACAAAAAAAATTCATTGTTACTGGGGAGAACCTTCCCAGGTGACACCACTGGGTGCACTAAGTCAGTGCAGATGGCTCAATGCTCGCCTAGTGGGAAAAATGTGTACTATGAAAGCTCCACTCTGCCCAGAGCAATTCTGTTTTCTTAGGGGGCACCCCCTCATATAAATGATGAGACATTACCTACATCTATATCAAGATTAAGGGATGAACACTTCAGACAGAGGAAATAGCAAAAGGCACTGGATGGAATGTGTTCAGTATGCATAAAGAACAGATAAAATGCCCAGGTGGCTAAAGTATGTGGTTCACTAGGGTCTAGAGAGCAGTAAGAGGTAAGATGAGAGTGGTAGGTAGGAGTTAGATCAGAAAGGGTTTGATAAACCTAAGTAAGAATTTGGATTTTATTAAAAGTGCAAAGGAAGCCACTAGAGCAGTGGTTTTCAACCTTCCTGATGCTGTGAACCTTTAATACAGTTCCTCATGTCATGGTGACTCCCCCAACCATAAAATTGTTTTTGTTGCTACTTCATAACTGTAACTTTGCTACTGTTATGAATCGGGCAAACCTGTAATGGGTCGTTCAACACCCAAAGTGGTCGCAACCCACAGGTTGAGAACTGCTGCACTAGAGGGATAGAAATAGAGGAATAAGATAATCTGGTTTGTTTCCTATTTAAAAAAAGATAACAGACTACTGTGGTGGAAATAGATCTTGAGGAATTGGGAATGGATGGAAGTGCAGAGATAGGCGATTCCTTCATTCACTCAGGTGATGAGTTAATGGTAACTGAGACCAGGATGTAGAAATGGGGTGTGGGGTATGGGTGAGTTTATTCTACATATGCTTTGGCATCTTTTGGGATTTCCTGAATTTTAGTTAAGGAACTAGGTGCTGGTAGTGCCATTATTACCAGGGAAAGGGGTTAACTTTTATTAGGCCTGGGTGAGATGGAAGGAGGAATTGTGCTTTGTTCCTATTCTGTGTTAAATATTCTAAGCAATTCAAAGAGTGGTGGGTGGGCTAAGTAGTCAAGATTTCATAGGTGGCTGAGACTAAGATGGTGGAGGAGGAGAAACTGGAACTGAAGTCGGTAATTCCTGGTAGGTGATAGAGTTTGAGTTTATACATGCCAGTTGCTAAGGAGTCCACGCCGACTCCTGGGCATCCCATGTGTATCAAAGTAGATCTGCTCAATAGAGTCTTCCAATTACTGATTTTGCGGGGAAA